ACGGCTGCGTTGACCCTGGACTTAATGAAGCACAGTGGACCAACACCAGCAGATGACATGGCTCCCCAAATCAACACAGACTGTGGAAACTTCACATTGGACTTCAAGCATCTTGCAGTGTGTGCCTCTCCATTCTTCCTCCATACTCTGGGTCCTTGGTTTCCAAATGAGATGCAAAAGTTGCTCTCATCAGAAAAGAGGACTTTGGACCACTGAGCAACAGACCAGGTCTGTTTTTTTTTCTTTAGCCCAGGTAAGACGCTGCTTACGCTGTTTTTTGTTCAGGAGCGGTTTGACAAGAGGAATACGACATTTGAAGCCCATGTCCAGGATCCGTCTGTGTGTGGTGGCTCTTGATGCACCGACTCCAGCCTCAGTCCACTCCTTGTGAAAGTCCCCAACACTTTTGAATGGCCTTTTCCTGACAATCCTCTCCAGGCTGCGGTCATCCCTGCTGCTTGTGCACACTTTTCCCTTCCACATAACTTTCTATTAACGTGCTTTGATACAGCACTTTGGGAACATCCAACTTCTTTTGCAATTACCTTTTGAGGCTTTCCCTCCTTATGAAGAGTGTCAATGATGGTTTTCTGCACAACTGTCAGGTCAGCAGGGTTTCCCATGATTGTGATTCCTACTGAACCAGACACAGATTTAAAGGCTCAGGAACCCTTTGCAGGTTTTATGGCTTAATTAGCTGATTAGTGTGGGACACTTTGAGCCAAGAATATTGCACCTTTTCACAATATTCTAATTTTCTGAGATTGTGGATTGGGGTTTTCATGAGCTGTAAGCCATAATCATCACAATTATGACAAATCACGGCTTGAACTATCTTTCTTTGCATGTAATGAGTCTACCTCATACATTAGTTGCACCTTTTAAGTTGCATTACTGAAATAAATGAACTTTTGCACAATATTCAAATTTTTCAAGTTTCACCTGTATATATAGATATAAAAAACAGTATTCCATGTAGGAGTGAATTGCTGGCTCCTCCTAGGATGGGAAGTGATGAGGGGAGCGGATGCTGATTGATCGTGTAGGACACCGCCACATTATGAATGATCCTTCAGCTGAAGGGAAGGGTGGAGGACAGTGGAAGATGCCAGGTGTCTGGGACCAGTGCCACTCTTTCCAGTGTTCCACTCAGACTCAGTCCCTTACTGCAAGCCGGCTGCTGATCACTGTGGAGTCTTTATTTTTCTCTGTCTGACTGGTTAATACAGTTAATTTATATTTGGTTAATATATATATTTGGTCTTTTATATTGGTGCTGTTAGCATCTTATGGCACTTATTTTTGCAAATTAAAAGAAATGTAGCAGTTTCATGTTCTGTTAATTTAATATTTTCTACTGTTTTTAAATTGTATTTATATTTTTTTTGGGAGGGGTGCAAGCAGATGGTCTTGACTAGGGCACAAATAGTCTAGCACCAGCCTGCGAGTATGGACCTTTTGGACATTACCCTACTAAGTGACCCCACCACAGACATCCTGAACACCCGTACTTTTCGTAAAGCATGCTCTGCTAATTCCCTACTTCTCGCATCTAGCTGTCATCCGGCACATACCATCAAGTTTGTTCCAGTTGGGGAATTTACCAGAAATGGAATTGCTCTATCAAGGTAGACTTCACACAAGGAATATCTCCAACAGACTAATGAAAGGGTGTTACAGTCAATGGTATATCAATAGGGCAATAGATATTGTGTGCAAAAAAACAAAAAAAAAAAAAAAAAAACTACCAAAGAAGAGGACGCCCCATCAGTGTGGCAACCCAGTTACGTTTGTAACAATATTTTCACAAGAGTATAAACATATTGACAGTATTATTTATGAATATTTACCAGTCCTGTCAGCAGATAAAAGATCTTATGCCCATCTTATCTGATGGATATAGATTTTCCAGCAGACGTGCAAACTCTTTGGCCAATATATTATCCACCAAACAGCTTGGTGAGAAGGTGACAACAGTTGGTACAATCATTCGCAAATGGAAGAAAACACAAAAAACAACTGTCAGTCTCCATAGGTCTGGTGCACCATGCAAGATCTCATTTCGTGGAGTGTCAATGATCAGGAGAACAGTGAGGAAGCATCCCAGAACTACTCGTGAGGATCTTGTCAATGATCTCCAGGCAGCTGGGGCCACAGTCACCAAGAAAACAATTGATAACACACTATGCCGACAAGGATTGAAATCCTGCAGTGCCCGCAAAAGGTCCCTCTGCTCAAGAAAGCACATGTCCAGGTCCATCTGAAGTTTGCCACTTAACATCTGAATGAAGCAGAGGAGGACGGGTGTGGCAGTGATCAGAGACACTAACTGGTGACAGTACGGAAAAAAAAAAGTTTTTTCTATTACAATGTTACAGTAAGGACACAGACAAAAATACAAAATGTGACAGGGGTATGAGCCTTTCTGTGCTGCCGTTGAAGAGTTCCTATCACTCCCTATCTGTAGCAGCCCAGCTTCAGCTATCAGTAAAAACCCAATGAGGTTTGAACCCCCCAATCTATGGAAAACTAATAGATCGACATTCATTATAAGAATTCTACCCTGGATATATAGTTGCAGCAAAAGGGTCACAAAAGAGAAGGAAAAAAAACAAACTACACAAAAAAAAAAAAAAACACAAAAAAACTGAAAGCAAACATGTTTTCTGAAAATACAAAATATTTAATAGGAAAAATGTTAATAGTATCCATACACATATTTGTGTTACATATACATTTCCTAAGAAGTAAAACAAAACAAAAACAAAATAAATCTTACATTTTTACAGAAACCACTTTTTTAAAATGACATGGCTCAACAGCCCAGTTGAAATGCTTTCCCAGACATGGCAAACTGCTAAAATAGAAATGATCTTTTCAAATGTTACACATACGTCAAACACTTAGATTTCAATCCTGCTCAATATAAGATCATACACGGATGCAAGATAATTTGAAAAGGCACGTGTGCTCAATTTTAAAAACCACACATGCAGGATCTGAAAGAACTGCTGCTTGTGGCCAAATAGTTTCTAAAATAAAAAAAAAAAAAAAAAAAAAAAAAAAAAGGATGTGAATGCTACAAAAAGCCAGAATTAAACCTGAAGCCCATCACTGGAAATACATTTTTTAAATTTTATGGGAGTGTTTTATATTCACCCAACTTTGCAGTCTATGTTCCTCATTGGTACCAGGGACCTGTAATCCAGCACTGCAGGAGGTGCCCATGTTGGCCAGTCTCCACCAGTCTGCTCGCAGTAACATAATCACTTCGGTAGGTCTTCTGGATTCTGTGAGGATAGTGTCACTGGTTAGCCAGTAGAAGTGTCCACATCATGCAGGTGATGACTTAGTCACCCAAAGAAGGACCCCTACACCTTTGCCCATCTCCGTGTAGTTTTTACATTTTTTAGACCAATGATTCTTAACAATGGGGGGACGCAGACACAGAGTTCTCCTTTAAATTTGAAAAACAAGGATGTAACCACAAAATAGTGCATTCCACCCATTATAAAAGCGGATGCATTTGTTCCTACAGATGGAAACATCAAGAATGAACAGCCCTCACTTTTTAGCTGTAGATTGTTGCAAAAGGTCATTACCATGTAGTCAAAGAAAAGCTGATATTTGTCCAAAATAGCTTGTCTGAAATAAAATGCAGCTAGTTGAAATGTGTTAGACTGAGCTTACAGAAGCAGCTTGGTTGAAGGGCAGTAGGCCAAGTCACTGAAATGATCTCTACTCTGGTATCTAGCAGTATTGGCCTCTTAGATCCCCTCCCAGCTGCCATGTTCTCAGATTTCTCTTAGCAATAGCTTTCAGTTAATATGAGGTTTACTACTCTGCATTTCTTGATTGACCTAATGTAAGTGGTTCATGTAAACAACTGTCCGAGCACAAGAGGCCTGAAAGGACTCACTTTTAATGACATGGATGCACAGTGGCATTTTAGTAAAACTAGAGAGTGCGAAATCTGGTGCAGCTGTGCATGGTGGCCAATCAGCTTCTAACTTCAGCTTGTTCAACTAAGATTTGACAATAAAACCTGGAAGCTGATTGGTTTCTATGCAAAGCTACACCAGATTTTGCACTCTCCAGTTTTAGTAAATCAACCCCAGTGACTGGAGCAGGGTAGTGCTAGCTGTTGGGATGGACAATCATTGGGTCATTCATACGGAGATCTGCAGAGATAACAGTAGAGTGGAAGTCAGCTGAATTTTCTTTTATTTCAGACAATATCAATGATCAGCCACACAGGAGCCTATACAATTACTTCAGTTCACTACTTGGCAATTACAGCGCTCACCCTCTAAATATTTTAACACAGTACCTTTCCATGAGTGTTCCTTTCCAAATTCATACAACTGCAGTCCCTATATTGTCTATCTAATGCTCCCCAACCCTAGATTCTCTTTGTTGGTGGAGATGCTCTGTGCAAGCTCCCTCTCTGCGCTTTTACAGTCTCCTTTTTCATGTGATCTTAGTATGTCAGAGAGAAGCTATTACTTTGTATCAAACCATATTGGGTTTGAGAATAGTCTTTTTGGCAAGGTATTCAATGGAGAATATATTCTTCAATGATTGGTGAATACCTGACCTGGCAGATTACAAGCAAAAGCAAAAATGATTTGATACAAAGTGATCAGCTCTGGAAAAGTACTGTATAGGGATATCTGAAGGGTGAGCACAGAGTTTGCCAGGTAGTGGGCTGAACATTTTTTTTTTTTATTTCCTTCAAATCAAAAATAGCAGAAGGCTTTGGTGTTGTCTTTATTGTACTGAATGATAAAAAAAAAAAAAAAAAAAAAAAAAAAAAAAAGGGAGGTTTTCCCTGCATAAAAAGTAAATATGAAAAGCTATATATGAAGAAAAAAAAAAAAAAAAAAAAAAAAAAAAAAAAAAAGGCATAGGTTGTACAATGTTCTAGGCACTGTGAGTATAGTTGACAGTCCATAATTCCCTGAGGATACTAGCATGCTGCAAGTCAAATGTCCATTGTCTTAGACTGCAAGTAATGCCATCTCTTTGGATTCTGCATCTGTACCATTCCCAATGACTTTTTTGGCCCATTTATGAAGACGGCTATATAAGGGGAAACCCTTGTTTTCCCTATACAGATATACTCCAGTTATTTCATTCCATTGGGGACTCGACTGTACCTCTTCCACTGGGTATTCAGTTACCATTTCCTTCTCTTCTTTATTCAAAGCCACAAAACCAAAGAAATGCTTAACATTACTGGCAGCAAGGACTTTTGCGTGGACCTCAGCGGTACGGTTGAAGAGTTCCTTCTCACAGGAGCGGTACTGGCCCCAGTACTCCTCTTGGTGGAAGCTCAAAGGAGAGCAGCAGTGTTGCAGACATTTGAGTAAAAACACGGCTGAGGCAACTACGGCAATTAGAATCCAACCAATAAACTAGAATAAAAAAAAAAAAAAAAAAAAAGTAAGAAATAATGGAAGCAAACATTTTGCACAACAACATCTGTGATAATATTTGAAGATCACTGCACACACCAGAATGAGCAATAATTCTAGGGCCTCATTTACAATTAACACTAAAAACTGACCCATAAAAGGCTTTTACGGCATCATCGAAGGACAAATTTGGGTACTGAACTTGGTCACGGTTTAAGAGACACATGCAATTTTAAAGCTTGACATGTTTGGTATCCATATATTCAATGTAACCTCATCTTTTATATTTTACCAAAAGATTAGGTAATACTGTATATTGCGCTTGTGTGCACTAAAGTCAATGTTCATATATTTTTTTACTGAAATATGGGTTTGAGAAGCCATTGCACTCATGTCATGAGACAACTATCACCATTTACTCTCCAGGATTTCTGCTTTCAGAGGTTTGGGAGTTTTAACTAATCTTGAGGCCTTAAAATGTGCATTTTAACATGTGTGCAAAAACACGCTTGGCAGCAAAGAGTTTTCCTGCATAGTTCTATTAAAGCTGGCCATACACAGATATACTTTCATGTAAACGTTCACACAAGATCATTCATCATTTGATAATGCCATCAGTGACTACACAAAATTTCATATGAAAGCCCCCGATTGATTGGCCTGACAACATCACAAAATGTTAACATCCGATTTTGCGAGGGATGAAAATTAATGAGATTGAAAGGTGTGCATCCCATTACATCTGGTGTAAAACTAGGTGCTGATTCACATGTGTGGTACAGCGTGAAGCTGAGGTTTCACAGCTAATTCATACAGTAGTTGTCCAGCGGTTCAGGCCAGGTTTACATCAAGTTCAGGAGCGGTTTAGGTCAAGATTTTATCCTGTGCACAACTGATAACATGTGCAGTTTAGAAACGGTTCCCATAGAAGTGAATCGCCTGTAATCAGCACCTGAGCCAGACCACACTGCTCACAAATCGGGCATGATTCTTTCAATCCACACTGGCAGTGCACCGGACATATGTGAACAGGCACCATAGGAAGCAATGTTATTTCACATATGATATTGGTTGGATGTGGTTCATACCACATCCAATCCGCATATATGTGATCGGGCACTTACACAGCATTTCATAAAAAGAACATCATACAAACAGTGAAACATGGTGGTGGTAGTGTGATGGTCTGCGGATGCTTTGCAGCTTCAGGACCTGGATGACTTGCCATAATTGATGGAACCATTAATTCTGCACTCTACCAGGAAATCCTGAGGGAGAATATCCAGCTATCAGTTTGTGACCTCAAGCTGCAGTGCATTTGGGTTATGCAGCAGGACAATGATCCAAAGCACAAAAGCACACCAGCAAGTCCACCTCCGAAAGGCTATAACAAAAAAAACAAAAACAAAAAAAAAAAAAAAAACTAATTCTGCAAGGAAGAGTGGGCAAATGCTTGACTGCAGTTGTTGCCAAGGGTGGCAATTACTTTTTCACATAGGGCCAGGTAGGCTTGGACAGCATGCATTTCAGTAAAATTTATACATATATATATATATATATATTTTTTTTTTAACACACACACACACACACACACACACACACACACACACACACACACACACACACACACACACACACCTTTGTTAAAATGTGAGGTCTCTCTTTTGCATGCACAGGTTTATGAAGAAGCTCTGAAAGTGTTCCTTATTCAGGAATGGGGTAGGGATCCTCAGAGGAGAGCAACTGAAAAGCAATAAGAATATCCAGTTTGTAGCCCCTGAAGTGGCACTCTGGACCCACACATCTGAGTGACCAGAAGGCTGAAAAGGCTGTTAGATTACACTCCCCAACTCTTACACGTGGGGTGCCCTATCATTGGAAGAGGGCTTGAAGTCAGACTTGGCTAGTTTAGAAGTCAACATTTAGTCCTGACTGTCAGGGTCTGTCAGTCGTGGAGGTAACTGCAAGTTGCATGGTGGAGCCTGTCAAAGAAAGGAAGGCCATAAAAGAGCTCCTAAACTCTCTTCCCACCCAGTTCTGGAACACAAAACTATCCTTTTACAGGGACAGTTAAAGAGTCTTGATACAGTTAAAATAGTCTTGATAGAGTAAGAAAATGGCTCAATCACAGGCACATACATTTAATTGCAGGAAACGCACCTTATTAGATCACTGAGCAAAAAAAACACAAAAGAGGTTTTCAAGGTAAGGACAGACACCATACATGACTGGCCACAAGAGAGACAAGGAAGGTTTAGCAGGTATGGGCAATTGTACGGTGCCCAGGCTGGAGAACTGTACTTATCTTCATAGGTGGGGAGTTGTAAGTATTGTCCTCCATGGGTAATGAGTTGTCAGTGCCCAGCTAGTGCATGGGTCTCTTCTCCCCTTCTTTCTGCACGAATTCCATGATTGATTGGAACAGTTTGGATTGGCGAGTGCTAGCACAGAGCATCACTCTGATCCATCCAAGAGGCCCTGCAGAAAGAAGGGGGAGAAGATTGGCGGTTTCAAATCCCCAGATCTCTGCATTTTTTTCTGAAAAGGTCAACTAACCCTTTAAGTTTTGTAGAAAAGTCAGCCAAAAAGGTGTGTTTTCTTGATTCAATTCAATTCCTCAGGCAGTGCATCAGCCTCAAGAGCAAAGTCAAAGTCAGACAGACAGAAAAAAGGTAACTTTTTTGGTCCTCCAAAATCTACGCCCCTCCCACCCAAGAGAGCAGGACATCATGCCCATAAAATCAGACATAATGGCAGAAAATTCCTCTTTAAGGTTAGGAGGATGGGTGTACAGTCAAAAGGGCCAGCAAAGTTCCCAAAGAAAACTAGGAAATCAGACTGGGGCAGTTGTCAGAACAGGAGGGTACTAGGGCACTTTGGGAGAGACTATCACCCCCCATAGCAGTTAGCCACATGTGAACCAATGAAGCCTGCAGTTTGGATGTTCTCCCTGTGCCTGCGTGTGTTTCCAGAGCAATTGGCTCCTTTCTAAATTAGCTCTAGTGTATGTATGTAAGTTTTGGATCTTAGATGTGTAAGCTCTTTGAGGGGAGGGAATGTTGTGAATGTAATATACATATGAAATGTATGTGTTTAACTAGTTGCCGACCGCAGATAGCCGAATGACAGCTGCACTGCGGCCAGCCAGTTCTGTGTGGACGTCATATGACGTCCTCCCAGAACGCGCTCTCCTGCGCGCCCCAGGGGGCGCGCACCCCGGCGATCTCCATGATCGCTGTGTCTTACGGACACAGCTGATCACGTGATGTGGTAAAAGGCCAATCACAGCGGCCTTTTACCACGTGATCAGCGGTGTCCAATGACACGCTGATCACAGGGAAATGCAAGTGCCGGTTCTCGGCTGCACTTTCCTCACGCTGTCAGATCGTGAGGAAAGTACTGCCGAGAAACGGCAGTTGTCAGAGCGGGGATCGGCACCGATCATCAGGGCACTGATGATCAGTGCCCTGATGATCGGTGCCCAGCAGTGCCACCCGCAAGTTCCGCCCACCTGTGCCCAGCAGTGCGCCCACTAGCTCCGCCCACCTGTGCCCAGCAGATCACCCCACCTGTGCCCAGCAGTGCACCCACCTGTGCCCAGCAGTGCACCCACCCTGTGCCCACCCACCAGTGCTGCCAGTCAGTGCCCCCAGTCAGTGCCCAGGGGTTGTGCCAGTCAGTGCCGCCAGTCAGTGCCCAGGGGTGATGCCAGTCAGTGCCGTCTATCAGTACCCATCAGTGTCACCTATCAGTGCCACCTATCAGTGCTGCATATCAGTGCCGCCTATCCGTGCCACCTCATTAGTACTGCCTATCAGTGCCCTTTAGTGCTGCCTATCAGTGCCGCCTATCAGTGCCCATCAGTGCCGCCTATCATGCCCATCAGTGCCGCCCATCAGTGCCGCCCATCAGTGCCGCCCATCAGTGCCGCCCATCAGTGCCGCCCATCAGTGCCGCCCATCAGTGCCGCCCATCAGTGCCGCCCATCAGTGCCGCCCATCAGTGCCCATCAGTGCCGCCCATCAGTGCCGCCCATCAGTGCCCATCAGTGCCGCCTATCAGTGCCCATCAGTGCCGCCTATCAGTGCCCATCAGTGCTGCCTCATCAACGCACATCAGTGAAGGAGAAAAAATACCCGTTTGAAAAATTTTATAATAGAAACAAAGAAACCTTTTTTTTTTTTCAAATTTTTTTGCACTTTTTTTTATTTATAGCGCAAAAAGTAAAGCGCCCAGTGGCGATTAAATACCACCAAAAGAAAGCTCTATTTGTGAGAAAAAAATTATCAAAATTTCATATGGGTACAATGTTGCATGACCCGCGCAATTGTCAAAGTGCGGCAGCGCTGAAAGCTGAAAATTGGCCTGGTAAATAAGGGGGTATAAGTGCCTGGTAGGCAAGTGGTTAAAGAGCTGCTGTAGCATACCTGATTGGAGACTGAAATGACGAGGTTAACCTCACTTGTGTCACTAGCCCTGACCCCACTGGAAGTGGAACAGAGGGTGTCTAGGGACCAGGGGGACAAGAGCACCAGCAGATGTTTGCAGCTCTTGCAGTTGGAGACTTTGGAAGACTGGTGAACTTCTGATTCAGGCACAGTAGTAATATGCAGAGCTGGTATGGTGGGTCGGCAGGTGTGCACCAGAGCAAGGCAGGAAGCTGGGATGGGAGACAGGAGCAATGTCATAGGAATAGCCAGAGTCATCAACAGGCGGACAGCGAGGTACCAAATCATAAACAAGCCAAAGTCAAGAGCAGAGCCGAAGTCAGGAACCAGTATCAAGCAGGAGAGTAAATCAGAGTCAGGTCAGGAACAAGCCGGGTCAGCAACAAGGAAATCACATAGGAACGAGCAGGAAACAGGGAACAGCTGAAGACCAGTCAGTACTCAACACAGGCAGAGGCACCTCTTAAATAGTCCATCTGGCGCCAATCTTCACCGTGCATTTCTGTGCACATGCACACGTCTATTCACCAGCCGTCTCCCGGGAATTCCCTT